CTAACTGAGGGATACGGAGACTGGGACTGTGCACGGTGCTCCGAGTGCGGGTCTAACTGAGGGATACGGGGACTGGAACTGTGCACGGTGCTCCGAGTGCGGGTCTAACTGAGGGATACGGAGACTGGAACTGTGCACGGTGCTCCGAGTGCGGGTCTAACTGAGGGATACGGGGACTGGAACTGTGCACGGTGCTCCGAGTGCGGGTCTAACTGAGGGATACGGAGACTAGAACTGTGCACGGTGCTCCGAGTGTGGGTCTAACTGAGGGATGAGGAGTCCAGGACCGGATTACAAACACGAACAGAGACTTACCAACAACTTTTATTGAGACACCGTTGGGATCTGAATAATTTTCCCGATTCTGATCAGACATTCGAAAATGATAGGTCCCTTCATCGCTCTTCTGTAAGTCGGTTATTTTCAAAGTACAATCCTTTCCTATTTGCTTGTTGCCTGTGAGTGTGGCTCGGTTTTGGAAGCTGGGGTCCGTGTCCCCATTGGAAGAGATCACCAGAATACCATTGACTTTCTCCCCCTTCAACCACATGGCCGTCTGGAGGTTGCTATTTCTGGGATAGCGACATTGGCAAGGAATTATCAAACACGAACCTTCTGCCCCTTCTACAGCCCTGGGAGCATTGACACTCCATACAGAGTAAAAGTTACCTGCAACAAACCAATTGTGCATTAATGTAGCACCTTCAACATGGTCAAACAACACAGCATCTTCATCAACCAGAGAATATTTCACTCCGAGCTCCACCAGGGGATATCAGGAGACAAGGAATGAAAAGTTCAAACAGGAGACTGTTGAAATAATGCATTGAAAAGTTGGCAGCAGCAGAGAGTAAGAGAGAGAGAGACGGAGTGAGAGATGAAGAAACAAACAGGGAGAGATAGAGATGGAGAGAGAAAGAGAGAGAAATGAAGAAACAAACAGAGATAGAGATGGAGAGAGACAAACAGATGGAGAGAGATGGAGAGATAGAGATGGAGAGAGAGAGAGACACGGAGAGAGAGAAAGATGAAGGAACAAACAGAGAGAGACAGAGATGGAGAGAGAGAGAGAGACAGAGAGAGAAATGAAGAAACAAACAGAGATAGAGACGGAGAGAGACAAACAGATGGAGAGAGATGGAGAGATAGAGATGGAGAGAGAGAGAGATAAACAGAGAGAGACGGAGACGGAGACAGAGACAGAGGTGGAGAGGTTTTGGGATGGAATTCTAAGGCTCAGCGTTGCCAATGGCTGAAGGCCTGGACCCCAATGCTGGAGCAATGGGAATTGGAGAATACTCTAGAGGCCGGGATTAGAGGGTATTACAGAGACAGGGAGGGGTATTGGGGTTTGGTGGAGGTTACAGTGATAGTGAGGGAGTGCAGGGGCTTGAGGAGGTTACAGAGATCTGGAGGGGTGTAGGACCTGGGTTAGGTTACAGGGATAGGGAGGGGTGTCGGGGCTGGAGGAAGTTACAGATATAGGGAGGGGTGTTAGGGCTGGAAGAGGTAACAGATATAGAGAGGGGGTGTAGGGGCTGGAGGAGGTGACAGAGATAGGGAGGGGTGTAGGAGATGGAGGGGGTGACAGATATAGGGAGGGGGTTTAGGGGTTAGAGGGGGATACAGAGACAGGGAGGGGGTGTAGGGGCTGGAGGAGGTTATATAGATAAAGAAGGGAGCGGGGAATGAAGTGGGAAAGCGGGAACAGACTGGGCGGGATATTAAAGTGTATAGGGAGTGAGAGGGAGAGTTTAAGTATTTAACATATTTCATACCCCACCCAGTCTAATCCCTCTCTCCCCCCTCACTCCCCGCTCCCTTTAATATCCCACCCAGTCTAATCCCACTGTACCCCTCTCTCCCCGCACCCTTTAATATCCCACCCAGTCTAATCCCACTCTCCCCCTCAATGCCCGCTCCCTTTAATATCCAACCCAGGCTAATCCCACTCTCCCCCTCATTCCCGCTCCCTTTAATATCCCACCCAGTCTGATCCCATTTTCCCTCTCTTTCCCCGCACCCTTTAATATCCCACCCAGTCTGATCCCACAAACATCATGCCAACATGAAATTGCACTCTCTCTCAATCGCATCTTCTGTAGGATTTGTCTTTGTAACTGAGATTTCCTTGCCTCTCTGCACTGCCTTTGTTTGTCTCTCCCGCCTTCTCTCTGTCGCTCCCTCAAACAAGGCCCATTGATCATTTTGATGTCAATGTTCATTGAGAAAGACACATACCCCAGGCTGAAGACGGGAGCAGATACAAAAGAAGGAACCACATCATTCGCAAATACCTGAAGAGAAATGGAGACAATTCATGAAAAGATTTATATTGCAATGGCAGAAATTTCAACTCCCTCCCTGTACTAGCCCCACAAAGGAAGACATCCAAGGGGGTCAGTGCCGAGGGAGCGCCGCACTGTCGGAGGGTCAGTGCCGAGGGACCGGGCACTCTCAGAGGGTTAGTGCTGAGGGAGTGGGCACTGTCAGAGGGTCAGTGCTGAAGAAGTGTCTGGAACAAATCAGTCATCATCTAAATGAGACACGTTAGGACTGAGATGAGGAGGAATTCCTTCATCCACAGAGTGCAGAAGTTGTGGGTTTTTCTGTCACTGAATGCAGTAGGTGCTAAAACAATGAATGCTTTTGTGAAGGTTTGGGTTTTTATTTATATTCTCTTCTGTAATCATTGGAGAAGTTTTTTTGGGACAGGATTTACTCTCATTTGGAAAAGAATGTTCTTATGCAGGATAGCGTCAATTACTTTACACAGGGGAGGTCTGTCTCACAAACCTGATTGAGTATTTTGAGGAAGTGATGAAGATGATTGATGAGGGTAGGGCAGTGAATGTTGTCTACATGGACTTTACTAAAGCATTTGACAAGGTCCCTCACAGTGAGCTGGTTCAGGAAAGTAAAGTATGTAGGATCGACGGTGAGTTGGTAAGTGTGATACAAAATGAGCTTGGTCATAGAAGACAGAGGGTAATTGCGTAGGCGTGTTTTTATAACTGGAGGTCTGTGACCAGTGGTGGTCCACAAAGATCAGTGCTGGGACCCTCTGTGGTTCGTGTTACATATAAATGATTTGGATGAAAATGTAGGTGGTCTGATGAATAAGTTTGCAAATGACATGAACATTGGTGGAGTTGTGGGCAGTGAGGTAGGTTGCCAATGGATACAGCATGATATAGATCAGCTGGAAAGTTGGGCAGAGAAATGGCAGATGGAGTTTAATCTGGATAAGTGTGAGGTGATGTATTCTGGGAGGACAAATGCAAGATTAAAGGATACAATAAATGGCAGGACCCTTAGGAACATTGATATAAGGAGAGATCTTGGGACACAAGCTCCCTGGAAGTGGTAACACCAGTGGGTAGGATGCTAAAGGAGGCTTATGGCATGCTCGCCTTCATCGGTTGGGGCACTGAGTATAAAAATTGGCAAGTCATGTTGCAGCTGTGTGAGACTTTAGTGCAGCCACGTTTGGAGTGGGGTGTGCAGTTCTGGTCTCCACATTACAGGAAGGATGTGAATCTTTGAAGACTGTGTGGAAGAGGTTTACCAGGATGCAGCCTGGATCAGGGAGTGTGTTAGCTACAAGGGGAGCTTGGACAAAGTTAGATTGGAGCGTCAGAGGCTGAGGGGTGACCTGATGGAAGTGTATAAAACTATGAGGCGCATGGAGAGGGTGGATAGACAGAGTCTTTACCCCAGGGTGGAAATGTCAAATACTGATGGGGCTGGGGGGGTCAGGGGTTTAAGGTGAGAGGGGGAAGTTTAGAGGAGACGTGTGAATAAGTTTTTTTACACAGAGGGTGGTAGGTGCCTGGAATGTGC